CAATGATCCTCCACATAATTAAAGATTTTCAAAAAGTTTAAGACAAGTTTGATTTCATTTTGAAGGAAAAAATGAGCATTCTTTTAATTTTCCAATGCTCCTCCACATAATTAAAGATTTTCAAAAAGTTTAAGACAAGTTTGATTTGGAAAAAATGAGCATTCTTACTATGTTAGTGTAGATACCTTTTGGGTTTGAACATTCACTTAGTGTAAGTAAATGTACATTTGAGAGAACTATAGTGAACTAAGTCTCTTACCCTACACATAGTACAAGCAAGTTTGGGATTCTAGTCATTTTTGCGCCTTAGATGGTCATACGCACATATCCTGTTTTCATGAGTGTTTTAAGGTGTAGCCCAAACACCTATTGTGGTGACCCCACCACAGCACTCATATAAGTGAAACCTCCAAGGGTTGTTTGTGATCAACACCACGCATAATACATGTCTTGGTTTCATTCAGAGTTTAACTCTTTCTTATCATCACAATTATGAGCACTACCACCATAGGAATGGGACTCGGAGTATTCCTCCATTATTATAACTAGTGCTCCCATAGTCACAATTCAACTTCGTTGTTACCCATTGAACCTCTTGCATGGGATCTCCAATCTTTGAGGTTGGGTGTCCACTATGGTAACTATTTTATGGGCTTTAGTCTCATTCCCCTCGATGCTTCAATAACTCACTTGCGCGTTAAGCCTTTTGTAAATGGATCAACTAGGTTCTCTTTAGACCTAACAAAGTCAAGAGAAATCACACAATGAAATAATAATTGCCTGATAGAGTTATGTCTAATTCTGATGTACCTACTTTTGCCATTATAGATTTTATTATTAGCCTTAGCTTTGATAGCTTGACTATCACAATGTAAAGGTACATCAAGATTACCATTTAGAAAGAAAGAAAGATCAGCAATTATACTTCTTAACCATTCTGCCTATTTACTAGTTAAGTCTAAGTCAATAAGTTCAGCTTCCATGGTGGATCTAGAAATTAATGTTTGTTTAGAAGATTTTCATACTGTCGCACTACCACCCAAAGTAAAGATATAATCACTAGTTGCTTTAGTTTCATATGACATCACTGAATCCTTCTATTACTAACGGAAATCCATTATAACAAATACCCAAATCATAAGTACCTTTAGGGGTCGTTTGTTTCATGGGAATCCAAGATTCATATTGAATGGGCATCTGGATTCTCACGTTTGTTTTGCGGAGAATGTAGATGTCCGAGTATCCTAGGATGCCCGTACGGGAGGCACCTAATGAGTGTCAGATGTCCTTTTGAAACGTGGGTATCCAAAATTCCTGTGTTGAGGGCATCCGCTCTTTACATTTTTGCTCTTCATTTTTTTCCATATATTTTCTTTCATCAATTTTCTTTATTTTTTTTTTAAAATTTATTTTTATTTTTAAATTTATAATTTAAATAAATTAATCGACTCATTGTCTAATAAGCAATTTTATGCAATTAAGTATATTTGTACATTACATTTACATATAAAATAAACTGCAATTAAATTATATAATATCGGGATTTATTTTTAATATTTGTGAAGGAATTATATTATTAATAATATTTATTATTCATAAATATATAATTTTAAAGCAACAATTTTTCTAACGACCAATATATCTGTGATATTTTTCCTCTTAAAAAATATAATATGATGGTAAGATAAATAAATTTACTTAAGATAATACCAATTATATGATTGTCTTTTTGGAAAAATATTAAAGTTGAAAATGAAATATATATTGAATTAATAGGAATTAATTCAAAACAACATATAAAAAAACAAAATATTAAATTAATTCAAATAAATTTATTATATTAAATGAATTTATAAATTATATGAGTATTCGTGAGGGCATTTTTGGAACATTCTATCAATTTAACACATCCCCAAAAACAAATCCTGCAAAACAAACGTGGCTATCCAAATATTCCTAGACATCCTTAATAAATTTTCATACGAAACAAACATAACTATCTGAAGATGTCGGACATCTAAAATTCCGGACATCTGAAATTCCAGTACATTCCAGAAAAACAAACGACCCCTTAAGATATATGCACAACCTTTCAATAGCACACCAGTGATATTCACTTGGATTACAAGTATATCTACTTAACATATTAACAACATATGCAATATCGGGTCTAGTACAATTAGCTAGATACATCAGTGAACCAATTATTTGAAAATATTCATGTTGTGATATAGGTTCCCCTATATTCTTTTAAGCTTCGAATTTGGATCATAAGGGGTAGAAACATGACTCAAATCAAAATACTTAATTTTTTTTTAATAAATGTTCCACATAATGTGATTGAGTCAATATAAATTCACTATCACTTTTAATCAATTTAACATCTAATATGACATCAGCATGACCTAAGTCTTTCATGTCAAAATTATTTGACATAAATTCTTTTGTTTCATTGATAACATTCACATTAGTGCCAAATATAATAATATCATCAACATACACACAAAGATAACACAAGTATCTTCTAACCTTTTAATGTAAAGACATTTATGAGAATCATTCATGAGAAAACTATAAGAAATAATCACACTATCAAATTTCTCATGTCATTGTTTAGGAGCTTGTTTTAGTCCATAAAGAGATTTAACCAGCTTACCAACTTTATGTTATGGACCTGGTTTTTTAAACCCCTCATGTTGTTCCATATAAATTTCCTCTTTTAATTCACCATTTAAAAAGGCAGTTTTAACGTCCATTTGATGAATTTCTAATTTCAAAATAGAAGCAATGGTTATCAAGACTCTAATGGCAGTCATTCTAGCTACATGAGAGTAAGTGTCAAAAAAGTCTACACCTTCCTTCCGACTATACTCTTTTGCAACTAATCTAGCTTTAAATTTATCTATGGAACCGTCAGTTCTGAGTTTTCTTTCTTGAAAATCCACTTACAACCAATTATTTTACAACCACGTGAAACATTTAGGACAAAATTGACTTCATTTCACTATTAATAGCTTCTTTCCAAAAATGTGCATCTATAGACTTCATTGCTTCTAAATATGTGTTAGGGTCACTTTCAACTAAATAAGTATAGAAATCATCACTAAAAGTCTTAATAACTCTATTCCTTTTACTTTTGCTCTGTTCTACTGGTTCCAAATTAAGAGCCACCTTTTAGACCCTAAACTTTCATTAAGTTGCTAGTTTAAATTAATATTCATAGGAAAAATATTTTCAAAGAGAGTGGCATCACGAGATTCTATAATTGTATTTTGTGTAAATTCAGAAATATCTGAACTTAAAACAAGAAATCTATAGRTTGTGATATTTAAAGAATACCCAACAAAAGCACAGTCAATGGTTTTAGGGTCTAATCTTTAAGAAAACTCAAGTTAGGGACTTTATCTTTCCAGATCTCGTACGGAGTTTTATCATAATTTTTATAAAGAATTCTATTCAAAATTAAACAAGCATAATATAAAGCTTCACCCCAAAAATTAGTTGGCATACCAAATGACATTAACCGTATCTAATAAGGTTTTATTCTTCCTCTTTGCCAGAACTCAATAACATGACATTAACGATATCTAATAAGGTTTTATTCTTCCACCCTGCTACACCATTAGATAGGGGTGCATAAGGAGCGGTAACTTGATTAATTAAGCCATGCAATCTACAAAATTCATTCATTTCTTTTGAAAAGTACTCACCTCTCCCATTAGATCTTAAAACTTTTATTTTCTTTTTCTAAATGATTTTCTACCTCAGCTTTATAAATTTTAAATTTTCTAAACACTTCATCTTTAGTGCCAAGTAAATAGACATGACAATATTTAAAGCAATCATTCACAAAAGTTACAAAATACATTTTTTCTCCACGTGTCAAAGAATTATTGCAGTCACAAACATCACTATGAATTAATTCTAGCAATGAAGAATTTATTTCTATTGATTTAAACGATTTTTTAGGTTGATTTGCTTGTGCACAAATTTCACATTTATCTTTATTATTTAAAGCAGATTTAAGTATTAATTTCATAATCATCATTCTATTTATTGAGCTAAAATTCACGTGTCCAAGTTGACCAGGCCAAATATCAGAACATTCAACATTTGCAACAACATAAGAATAACATGAAGATTTATAACTGTCAAAAGACACTTCATTGAGTTTAAACAAACCATATACCAAATAACCTTTACCAATAAAAATATCACGTTTACTAAGTACTACTTTATTGGATTAAAAAACAACTTTAAAGCCTTGTTCTACGAGCAAGAAAACACTAACTAAATTTTTTGAAATTGAAGGAACATGCAAAACATTGTCTAATAAGAGGTCATTGCCCGAAGATAATTTTAATAAAACTTCTTTTTCTCCTATTGTGAAGGCCTCATTCCCATTTCCTATCTTCATAGACCTGGTACTCGATTCCTAGTACGAATAAAATAGTTTCTTATTAGCACACATGTACATTCGCACCAGAATCAAGCCACCAATTATTTGAGTTGAGAACTAAATTTAACTCGGTATTACTGATATAATACTCGTCCGATGGGAGAATGGAGTCGGCTTGGTTTGTAGTGACCACATTGGACACCTTTCGCCACTGTAACCATTGGACATTGTTGTAGCACATATTTTGCCGCGGTAAGGAGTATTTCATACCTTGTATATTTCACTACTCATTTTCGACAATACTTTATTGATCCAATTCTACGTGAGTAAATCCTCCTCAGTCAAAGGAGAAAAAAAAATTAAATGCAGTGTTTTTTTCAAAATATATATACATATAAAAAGGGTCGGTGCGACGAATAGGGTTGGAGCATGGACAGGGACAAAACATCCCTCGTCCCCAACTCATTTAGGACGGATCTTTGAACACCTCTAATAAGAATTCAAATCTCATCCCACATTTATTGTACTAAAAAAATAATAACTAAAAAAGAAGAAAAAAATAGAAGGGCCATAATACGACCGTACCATGAAGAAAAGCCAAGAAGCAATAATAAAAGCATATTTCATTATTACATAGAATTAGATTACAACAATAATGACATTCATATTGGTTACACCCTTCAATTTATTGCCCCATCACATCCCTCCTTCTTACCCTTTCTTTCTCTATAGCTCTACTCTCCCTCTTTCTAAGCCACTAAATGAAATGGTAGCATTTGGCTATTTTATATGAAAGTAAACATACAACACTCCTCTAGACTTGGATTTCAATAGTCCATTTATACATTTCCTCCGTCGGGATAGGGAGGGCGAAGGTGACTAAGCCCGTCTCCGCATCGTAGACGAAGTCGGTATCGGCCTTGTCCACGCTGCATTTGAGAGGTCGCTGAGATGAGTACACACCGAATCTTCCGCATCCTCGAGATTTTAGGGTGATTGTAGCTGTTGGAGGTCGATCGTCTGGGAGAGAACCTGTCGCCTCAGAGACAACGTCACCATCGAACTCTGGCTTAGGTTCGACCATGTTGACATCAACTTGCTCAACGGCGCCACCAGTGTTGAACATGTCAAGCAGGCCGATTGGTGCGAACGAGATGTTCGGGGTGATGTCCTGAATATCAAGATTGTTTGGGTGAATCACAAAATGGGTTGACAGGCAAAGAATGAGAAGTAGAGCGGAGTGAAAGAACCACACACCTTCATGGGAGAAATATGGAAAAGATCATATTCCATAACTTTGAGGGTAACTGGCACCGAAGCGCCTTTCGGCAATCGAATAACGTCCCCTGAAAGAAAAAAAAAATCGACGTCCTTTTGTTAGAGATCTTTTCCTACTTTCCCACCACTTACAAAGGAGAAGCCATCATGAATCTTTATTACAAGTAGCAATCTGAGTACCTGATCGGTAAGCATAAACGATGGTATCACCCTTCCAATCGGCACCAGCAACTTGTGAAATAGCATCAACATCGGCAGCACGGACAGAACCGGTGAGGGTACCGGGAGACTCGTCGTGAATGCGAATCTTCTTTCTGATCCTGCACCAACCTGCACCTTGGCAATTGAATACTCCAACAACGCCAGAGCACTTGTTCATATTCCAAACTTTGAGCAGGCTGCAAAAAGAGAGGCAAAAACAACTGATTATCAACAAAGGTCTGTAATGAAGGGTGAGTGGACAAAAAGAATCGAAATGAATGTGCAGCAAACCTGGTTCCATCTCTTGCTGGATCGTCGAACAGACAGTCACGAGTCGGTCGCCCAGGTAACTGGGCACGAAGAACCGATCCGTCGGGAAGGACTAACTTCTTCAACAGCTCAAAGTTGTGGTGGCCTGGTTTGTCACTGTGATAAAATTGCACAAAGTTAAGCCAATATTATCATCATACTTGGAATTGAAATCATACAAACACAGCATCCGCATAAAATACCTGACATAGATTGCACATCCCCCGATCGCACGAGCTGCTCCGTGGTACTCTGCGGTAGGATGTAAACTCTGAAAAGCAAAATATCATATTGGTCAGTTGGACAGTTGGCATGCATAGTTTCTAGTTTCCTACTTTCTTTCTATCCAGCCTGAGTCTTCATGGCAATATATACACTACACATGCGGCTGTTAAGGAAATATAATCATACAATTCTCGCTAAAACGTAACGACTGTGAGATGGGTTAAAGGCATCAAATGAAAATGTCGATATAGAACGGACACGGGCGCAGAAAGTTTCTTACATGGAACATGTCCCAGTCAGGCTGCATGAATTCTCCAAGGAAAAGAGAATTGTAAGCCACAGAAGAAATATGAATGGTGTGGGAGGCAGGCTCACGAGGGTAATAGTCATCAGAAGCTCTCATAATCGCAGTCTGTTTGGAACTGTAAAGACCATCAGTGTTATGGCACATGCAGGAAATGCATCCATTGTCGGTAAAGTTTCGAGCGATCGAAGCTTCAAGAGCCTGTTGGTAGCTACGGGTGAGTGCAACTCGGCCACCATGACCAGCACCGAGTGTCTCGATAATGTTCTGCACATCAACCTTTACACCATCGATTCCACATGATGCCAAGTAGGAATGGAGCTCGTTATAGAAATTAAAGACTTTCTTCGGGTGCACAAGGCCAATGCCATGAACAGCCAGACTGTCTACGACTATGTCAGGTTGGTTGCCCATCACACCCGGTGACTGGACCGGGTATGCCAAAGCGGAGTCGTAGTGCTCCATGCCCGCACCTGCTGGTTTCACTCCACCCCAATAACCAGCTAAAGCATGCCAGGCAAACACAAATCTGCATTAGAGAAGATATGGATCAGAATTTGCAAATATAACAGGTTGCAAGTCCTTGAAACTCCTTGGTAATTAGAGATTACATACTAACAATTATCTATCAAGAAACCAACTTATATTAAATTACACCTTGAAAGATGTATTACAATACAGCAATACCCCCCATTCAAATTTGTGGCATAATGAAAATTTTGATCGGTTTACTTCGAAATTGAAATGAAAAAAGCTACGGCATGAGAAGAAATGGGATATTAGAGTACAGAAAACTTACTTCACATTGTGTCGTTTCTTGGCCTGATCAACAACCACCTTCAGGCCCGGGACCTGTTCACTGTTTTCCCCACTTTTCTGAAACTTGTAGTTCTCTTTAATTCCAGAGAGCCTACTTGCAAACCTATAAGGGAGTGTCACCAAGTGATTAAGCAATCTTTTTTTTTTATCACAACTCAACCCACAAAGCAAAAGGATACATGATATAAAATTTGTAATTTTAATTGTTTGATTATAATAGACCTAATTTTATATGTTGTGAGATTAGATTATAACTACAGCAATTACTGCTATGAGAATATTTTAGCCTAAGTAGCAAAAGAAGAATGTAGCATATGGAAGATGCACACATGGCTAACATGGACGTACTCAAAAAATCACATAATTTATCTGAACTATTTATGTTCCCCAACATAGAACGGTCCATAACTAAACTAAAATAAACACATTTCATTTTATCAACCAATTCTTCTTTGCAAAAAGCTGAACTTAGATTCAATGGGATGTGCACATAATCTTAATACAACACGATGTAATGAGACATATGGTTAATAAGAGAAAAACGGCTTACTGTGCTCCTTCTTGTACAACACAATCAACATCCTTTGGTTTGCTCTCTATCTGTTGCCAACCATCATCTATGATTAAGAATTTTGGAGGTGCCCCTCCTCCGGATAGGCTGCAAGACACCACAACGTTAACAATTTAATTTTAAACATCCCTAATACTGAAATGTTAAAGATGCAACAATCAAAAACTGCTATTTCTCATCGACAATTTCTATTACCTTTTGAGTCCTTCCTCAACACCCTCGGCAGTGACGTCGGTGTAAAAAGCATCCCAAGTACACCAACCAAACCAGTCAATAAAGGAAGGTATCTGAAAAAAGATAATACATCAAAATTGAGAATCTTGGAAGAGAAATAACATAGTAAACATTATATTTGTTGAAACAAAATTTTCTCATACCTTTTTCTTCTCTCTATGGAGAAAAGTCTGCGTATGCTTTTCAACAGCCCTGTTATCATCATTTAAATCATTGTGAAGTTAGCACACACATCTATCCTTGTGAAGCAAACATCATACGCGTTTAAAGAGGCTAAAATCCACTTGAAGAAATAAGGAGGCTAAAACCCACTTGAAGAAATAAGAGCAAAGACTAAAAACTTAATTTGGTGAAACTTACTTTACTGCTTGATTGATAACTTCAAAGGGGTTTGTCCCAGCATGCATATAGACAAGGGAAAGTCCTTGGTTGGTCTCAACAGTACTATCTCCTGCAAAACCAATTCAAACACCAACAAAAACAAGTCGTTTCGTTTCTTTGAACTTGACCCTTCCTATATTCTCCTCCAAGTGCTATAAAACTCCATTAATTTGACTCATTCCAGTGATGGTAATTAAAAGATTTCTCCAGCATGGTTGGTTCTCATTAATGACATGGCTCCATCCCACCAGATTGTTATCTTCTTCATTACCGACCACCAGGATGGAACTATTGTAAGAACTGATGGACCAAATAAATAGGAACGGCAGGGTGTGTGTGCATCCTACAACAGATGATAATTGTCTGCTGATCATGATCTACTCACCACTCTCGATGCAAATCTCCATCTCATTCTTTTCATTCCCTTGCAGCGCGGAACGGAACTGGCCTTCAAGGAGAGGAAGGAAGACAGTGTAGATGGTTGAAGAATTATCCGGATCCTCCCCATCGGTACCTTTTGTCTCCATAAGCAGGAACTGTGTCTCAAGTGGAATGTCCCTTCCAGATGTTCCCATCCTCTGAGTCATCCACCATAACTTGAAACGGAAACAACACAGGAAGCGGTGACCCCTGTTAAGAGTTGGAAAGAAATTAGAAGACTTACATATTACATAAATCAATATTAACCAATACAATACCTACTTCGATACAGTTCAAATGAATCTAGAAATCCTTTTTTTATTTTTCCCTATTTCCTCAAAAGAAATCTAAGAAATTCATCTAGATGAATTATTTCAAATCCTAAAATCTATCCAGCTCAAGGATCAAAGAGAATTCAACCCCAGGAGTAATTTTATTTACTGCTTATTATAGTAATTATAAACTTCCAATTCCTTTCTACTAAGCGCTTCAATTTTGTTCATACTGTAAAGTTCAAAGTCCCGTTAAGAGGTTTTTACTTACTCTAAGACACCCACGGGGAAAACATGTAGACTTTTACTGTGCGAAGCAGTGGCACCAATGAATGCCCCAGCAATCAGTCCTTGGCCTGATCCAGGTGTCAGCACAATGTTGTCAGGCACTCCAGTAAGTATGGTCTTCCCGTGAACCACCAAGTTTCCATCGTTGACAGAAATCTTCGGTGTGATCGTCATTGTTGAGCACCAAACAGTTGCTGCACACAAGAATAGAACAACATCATCAGCCAAACGAAAATCATAAAAACATCTTAAAATTAAGTTGGAATTCGCCAAACCCAGCAACACCCAGTACCAAAAAATTGAACTCTCAGAAACAAAAACCGAAGAGAAAATCGAGATAGCCTCTTCCTTGGTAATCACTAGCACCAACCTAATGGTTTGAACTTTAGAAGAAAACCTAAGTTTCTACGATTACTGCGAAATCCTATGCCTGCCGGACGGAGAGTGCCATATGACTTCCATGGAAGAGAAGAGATGGACCTCAATTTCTGTAACGAAGCTGCCCTTAGCATCTCCCGAAACACGATCTAGCCGGAGGCGGGGGAAATCAAGAAGACAACAGAGAGTAGAAACAGTAACAACAGTACCAATGACGCGGAAAGGAAAGAAAGGCATCAGATTCAGTTTACGATATGATGAACTGAAACTAATTCTCTAATGAATTCCTTTCTGGAGTTTTGGGTTTAGCTTAATATATCTCCAGGTCGAATCGAAGAGAAAACAGAGAATTATAATATAATAAATTAATTGAAAGATGGTACCGATTTAAGTCTCTTTGGAACTATGTTACCGTAAATAATTACAAGAAATTATTTAAAAAAACATAATAAATAATATGGAATTGGGAGTTTTCTCTAGGTGTATGTGATTTCTTAAGACCTACAAAAAGAATTTCATCCATAAACTATTTTAAAATATTAAACAAAAATAAAAGCTTGGTTTACTTTAAAAAGTTAATGGTAAATTTTCAAAATATTAGGGAATAATAATTTTGAAATAACACGGTCTAAGAAGGCAGAAAGAATAAAAGTGAAAGGAATATCTGAGGGGGAAAAAAGGTCAACAAAGAAGAAAGCAAAACAGAGTAAGACAAAGAAGACGCGGTTTTCACCATGTGACGCAAAGGACACTAAGGCTTGCTTCCGCCGGTTCCCCGGGCGGGAAGAAAAAGGAAAAACAAAACGTTTTAAGAAGACACGGAATATTCATTCATACAAAGAAGTAATCAGAGAAAAACAATGAAATTCACCTTAGGAAGAAAGTGACGATGAAAATGCAAAAACGAAAAGTGCACAAGATACGCAAAAGAGAATCAATCAGCAAGCCGTCAAGCTCTCCAACTTATCGATTTCACACCGAATTGATAATTTCGTTCATTTTTTAAATTAATTATGAGCTAGGTCGCAAAATTTTTGCCGCCATTAAAACTCGAAATGAATCCGTTCCTGTAGGTTCATTCCATTCACAATCAGATCAAAATCCAAAGGAATCGCGGTGAAAAAACGCTCAAGAATCACAGAGAGAAAGGTAGATCTGAGCCAAGATCCATACTCTCGCCGCGAATACACAACATAGAATCAAACGCAGAACCGCCGAACTTCACATACAAGCAAAACCTCCAGTACATCCAAGAATCAAAATCCATACAATTAAGAACTAGGTCCAGACCAGAGGCAGCTCAATCAACACCACAGGGAGGCACAAATTCGAAAAATAAACAACCAAAACCTCCACCAGAACTCACCGATTACCTCTGAGCAGCACTCGCAGAAGCTCCTGCCGGTGTCCTCGCCGGAATATGAGAAGAAAAAGAAGAGAAAAAAAAAACTAAACGAAGGAACGAAGAAGCACAAAAGCTTCTTACGAATGAGTTCGGAGAACAGGATTCAGGTGAGTTGGAGAAGAAGAAGAAGAGGGGCGGTATTTATACGGGTGGGAGCGTTAAAGTTCGAGCAAGTTCCTACTGTAAGATCGCACCAGATCACGACACGTGGAAATTAATTTTTCATTTATTTTGTCTCCTAATTCCGTCTCTTTTGTTGGTTGTTTATTTAATTATTACGGGGTGGGAATCTTTTTGTAATAAATCGGTTGAAAAATGTCTGCATCTGTCTGTGAAATTTGGAAATGTTGGAGAAAAATATTTTTTGTCGTTCTTTATTTTTTCAGTTTATTTATTTATTTAAATAATATTTTGAAAATATATGGATCAAAATTAATCAAATCAGAAGTATAGAGATAAAAATAATATTTAAATATTTTAATCTAAGATATTTTTAGTTGTTTGCAATTGCAATTCAAATTTTCCCCATCTTTAAATTTTATTTATTTAAGATATATTAGATTAGTTTGTGAATTTTAAAATTTTGTTTTCAAACCATATAAAATGTCCATTTCAAAATTTTGATTTTTTTTAAATATTTGTTATGTTAAGAAAAATTTTGAATTTTTCTCATCATTTTTTATGGTTCTTTTTCTCTGTCAAATTATATCTTTTAATTGGAAGATCTTTTTGCTGACTGTGTTTCAATTTCAAAAGCCTGAGGCCGACACGAGGAGAAGGATCACAGGAAATAAGGTTTTTAGTGACACTTTTTTTTAATCTACAAAAGTATAGGGATTTTTTTTTTTAACCTACCCACATATTTTTCTTAATTGATAATGAGAAGAGTAATTCATGTATTTATAAACGAATTAAGAAAAAGAAATAGAAAAATATATAACTCTTTTTTAAATAATGGACCGTAAATTTTTCAATATTGGTCAAGACAAGATTCATCCGAGCCAAGTATTTTTCTTTAGTGAATTCTTAACATTAGTAAACATAATTTGAACGTCTTGGTTTGAATCCCGTGGAGTTGTACTGGGTCTAAAATATGTAATAAGTTGTGGGATTTCAGATGGTTAGATTTAATCTTAAAATAATAAAATAAAATAAAAATAGTGGGAAATAGTTTTTTAAATTTAAATGGGAATATGAGATGCGGCACATTGGAAGTCCAAGAGTCAAGAGCCATTTTGATGTGTGAAGTTTGGAGCTTTATAATTATTTAATAATAAGTGAATTTTCGTGTAATCATTGATATTTATTTATAAACTTTGGTTTTATATATATATTACATTCATTAAATTGAATATAATTGAAATTGTTGAAGATTCAAATCAAAATGATATTTAAGAGATGAATAATATTTTTTACTAATTAAGCTATGTTCTATTGATTAATAATAATAATAATAATAAAGCTATGTTCGTATTGATTAATAATAATAATAATAATAATAAAATTTTGAGAACAAAATATTGATGGGTCTTTAATTCATTTTTTGACGGTTTTTTCTTTTAGTGGAAAATGTTCTCTTTGATGCATGTCCACTTTATCAAGTTTTAATACATAGTATTTGAAACTAATAATTAATAAAATTTATGAAAATCAAAATGGTTATTTATTTTCTTTAAGAAATAGAAACTACAATAAAACTTAAAACTACAATAGAATGCATTTAAAATTTTAGAGGCTAAAATAGACATTTATTAAAATAAAATAATCACAAAATATCGTAGACTAAAATAGAATTTAAATCTATATAATTCTTTCCTTAGCACGTTATATTAATAAAACAAGAAAAATAGTTTACCTAACCGCACCTATCTTATGCTGACCATCATTAAATTTTTTACAAGTATAAAATAGAAATATTTAAATGAAGATATTTTTGTTTTGGATTTCAAAAAAAAAAAAGATGTCAAATTTTTAGTGGTGATAAACATGTACAAAGATGGATATTGACCGATAAACTCCTGAAGATTAACAAAAACCACGATAAACATGTTCGAGCGTGTAATCTACGGATGCAAAAGGTCGAAAAATTCTAAGCAATATATTTTTATTTTCAATTAATTTATATAATATTGTTCGCTGATTTATTTGTGATGTAATATTTTTAAAAAAGAAAGATATATTTGCATTTGTTTTACACCTCATACGCTGATGTGAACTAGTTGAGCTTTTAAAAATAATAATATAACCCAATTAGGATATTAAACAGTTAATTAGTATTAAATCAATTATTTGTAACTTTCTCACTTATTTGACTACTTGAATATTGTATATGAACAAATTAAACTATTTTAAATCAATCAATCAATTATATCCTTATAAAAAGAATTCAATCAGTCAGTTTGGTTATAATTAATATATTATTGACAACTTAAGCATAATTTATTTAATATAACATATACTTTCGATAAAAAAAAATCATGAATTCCAAGTTCTACTTCTACATTGTTTGTACTAATTTTTTTTTTTTGAACTATACTATTTTATTTGGTGACAATTTACATATTAAAAATAATTAAAATTTATGAATTTTCTAATTCTACCGGATGGTACTTAATATTTTAGGTAATTCTCAGTTAAACTTATAATATTTTAAAATTTCCGAATTTACTTCTAATGTATCATAATTTTCAATTAACTTTGGAAATATTTGTTTTGATCTCTTTCCCATATTTTATCTCATTTCTTTTGACCAAAATTTTAGCATGAAATTTTACTTTGAAATGTAATAATAAATTTATATTAAATAATTTTTACTGTATATAAAATTTGTAAATATATGTCACATAAATCATCAAAATGAACATTTTGAAAATACAACAATTAAAATAGGGGACTATAATAGACACTTTAAAAAATATCCATTAAAATGAATCGAAATCAAAAGCAGATCATTAAAATAGTATCTAAAAAACATATTTCATTAAAATAATAATTATTGAAAAAAAATTCAAAGTTTGGGGAAAAAGTAGGATGTTGTTTTCCGAAACCTGGAACAACCACACGCCGTAAGTTTCTTTTTCAGTTCCAACACGAGGCCTGACCAGTGACGTCACTTAATTATGTAAAGTAAAAATTATTCTATTAAACTAAATAAAAATTATAAATTTATTCAAAGATGGAGTATTTAGCTCTAGCTATTCGAATTCATATTTGTCTCGTGGATTTGTGAAACTTGAATTTTGTTCAACATATAAATTCTTTAAATGAAGGCTTCTAAAACTGATACGTAAATTATCGGGCAAATTAACATTTCAAATGTCTCTAAATTTTTATGGTTGTATCTATTTAGTTTAGTTTTCATTACAAGTTCTGTTCATATCACTGCTTAATATATCGACGTGATACATGATTGGACTAACGTGGTACGAGAAATAAGATAGTTAGATAAAATAAAGTGATAGATAAAAAAAATGGTTTAAAATTTATTTCATCCATCTACACCCACCTCGGTCACCATCGAGTTTTTATTTCTACATATCTTTATTTGATCTAACTGACCTACTCTCTTGTAGTACGTACTGTCAATTCATAACTTGTTAATTTAATCATTGTATCATATCACCGTTTAAATAATGATTTCAATGATAAAGACGTGTGAGAATCAAATTTGAAAGTTTAGGGATGCAATTGATATGTATATAGAAAAATAACTATCAAAAATTTAAGGACTAAACTAATAATTTAACATAATTTTTTCTTTTTTATTTTAGTTCAACGGTTTTTAAATATTTCATTTTGATCTTTAAAATTTAAATAAAACAGGAACAAAGCGAAATTCAACCCCACATACTCGATTTAAACTTAAATTTAATCATTTTATTAATGAATAATATTTATTTTTCAAAAGGTTAGGTATATTAAAAGGGGGAAAAAATGAATCTCCTATGCACACAGGATTAAAGTGACCTGATACTAAAAAAGCACGAAAACCACGAATAAAACATGAACAAACATTTAAAAAAAAAAAAAAAACACAAGCATAAACATCAAAGCTAGAAACGTAAAGCAACTGAGGTATGAAAATGACTTCCAATCACGCTCCATCAAAATTTGAGTTCGAGAATGAATACTCTCCCTAGTAATAGCACGAGCATAAACTTCACTCTGAATAAAATAGACTGGTACGATTCAATTTTCAACATTTTGTTCGTAAGGACTTGATTGTGTCGTAGCTCTCTCGTTCGGATTAGGTTTATCGTTGGATGAACTGCATTGCTGATATTGACCCCAGAAAAGAAAGGGTAGGTATAGTTAGCGAGCGGACTCATGAAGCTGCTGCTTGGATTATGATCTCACTTTTCAAAACAACTCCCAACTCATACTATGATAGAGGAGGAACCGTGAAGATCTAGGAGTGGGAGTAGTATGAGCCGAAAGGACCACTATATTAATACTAGCAGTTTTAATTTTTACTGTGAAGGCATGTAGTCCAATGGGCATTTGACACATAAGTGGGTTATTTATTGAAAAGATAACGACAAATATCTCTAATAAAAACTATAAATTAACATAAATTACGTGTCAAATTTTTATTGGGCCAGACGCCTTATCTATTATTTATTTTTACTTTTTGGTTTTTGTTTTATTTATTTTTCCTTTTTTTTTGGACAAATTTATTAAAATCATTTAAACACGAAAAATCAAATTTTAGATTTAGTACGTATGATTAAAAATATTTAGGATCCCTATCAATCTACATTTTCTTAAAAAGCGACTAATTAGAGGTATATGTCAATTACCGTTGAGCTATGTTCACTTTGATGATAGATATCATTCTTAAAGTAGGATGATAATGTAAAACCTAACAAGGTAGGTGAGAGAGCTCGTTTTGGATATGGTATTAACCACTCACATGGTTAGGTAGGCAAAATATCCTTGGAAGAATGACTTGATTAGGTGATTAGATAATAATGATCTTAAGCTAAGGTTAAAAGCTTGTATCAAAAAAGTGTGTTTAGCTAATAAATGGACCACGACGCACATTCTTAAATGTTAGGTTTATTATTTCTAGAAATAAGAATTTTTTTTTTTTCGGTTCAAAATATATCTAGTTAAGCTGT